AAAAAAAAAAAAGGATTGAGGGCTTACGGTAGGGTTTCCAAAGAACAGTTTCCAGAAAAATGTTGAGAAATTTTGTATTGAGAAGAAGAAGTATTTTATTAGTGTTGGTATACTCCTGCATTCACATTTCCACTTGGTTTTACATATTTAAAAATGTGAACACTTCCCAAATAACAGAGGTCAAATTATAAAGTATATATTCTGCTTAATGTTCACAATCTTGAGAATGCACATTTTATATGGAAATTTGGAGTTAGGAGTTTCTAGTCCTACAGGGAGTTAAGGCAAAGAATATTCAAAGACACAGAAATATTCAAAGGTATGGTAAGATTTTTCAAGATCTTTTTCTTAAGAAAAAAATTTCAGTATTGCACCTGATGTCTTAGTGTTAGCTGTCAGTCATTGCGGAGATATTTAAGGTCAAATATTGAATAATGGGATGTGGGAGAGGGTGGATAACTTATGTCTTGGATGAAAGTAGAAAAAAATAAATGGAAAAATGGGAGTATGCTTCCATTAGAAAAAATAGATGAAAGCATTTCCATGAATAGGTTAGTATAATAATCATCATTGGAGAGCTGCAAGTACATAATGGGAAGGATGTGGAGAAAATGAGAACATCCTCATTTTTGGAGAAATGTTGGTGGACAAATTAGAAAAAAATATAGACCTAAATTGGGGCTCTAGTACTTGAGGTTTTCTTCCTTTGGGAAGAATTCAGGTTCATATCAGCCTTTGTATTACTGTAAAAGAAAATAATAAATCAGTTACACCACAGATATTGGTTCAGAAGTTTCTAGACTTACTAGGTATACAGATTTCCCTCCCATTCAGTGGCTGTTAAATTTAACTGGTAATTTACATGAAAAAATATTGTAGCAACTCTCAACCTTATTTTATTTCAGTAGCTTTTGGGGAACAGGAGGTTTTTGGTTGCATGAATATGTTCTTTAGTGATGATTCCTGAATTTGGTGCACCCATCACCTGAGCAGTGTACACTGTAACCAATGTGTAGTCTTTTATCCCTAACCCCACTCCTACCCTTCCTCCCGGTACCCCAGAGTACATTATATCATTTTTATGCCTTTGCATCCTTATAGCTCCCACTTATAAATGAGAACATGCAATGTTTAATTTTCCATTCTTGAATTACTTCATTTAGAATAACGGTCTCCAACTCCAACCAGGTTACTTCACATGCCATTATTTCAGTCCTTTTATTGCTGAGTAGTATTCCATGGTGAAGATATATGTCTATATACACATACACATATATATACACACACATATATATGATATATATACATATATATCACATTTTCTTTAGCCACTCATTGGTCACTGGGCATTTAGGCTACTTCCATATTTTTGCAACTGTGAATTGTGCTGCTATGAACATGCATGTGGAAGTGTCCTTTTTATATAATGACTTATTTTCCTCTGGGTAGATACCCAGTATTTTGATTGCTTGATTGAATGGTAGTTCTACTTTTAGTTCTTTAAGGAATCTCCATACTGTTTTCCATTGTGGTTGTGCTAGTTTACATTGCCAGCAGTAGTAAAAAAGTGTTCCCTTTTCACCACACCCACATCTATTTTTTTTGATATTATTTTAATCATAGACATTCTTGGAGGAGACGGTGGTATCTCACTGAGATTTTAATTTGCATTTCCCCAGTCATTAGTGATCTTGAGCATTTATTCATGTTTGTTGGGCATTTGTATATCTTCTTTTGAGGAATGTCTATTCACGTCCTGTGCCCATTTTTATATGGGGTTATTGTTTTCTTCTTGCTTATTTGAGTTTCTTGAAGATTCTGATATTAGTGTTTTGTCAGATGCTTAGTTTGTTACTATTTTCTCTCACTTTGTGGGTTGTCTGTTTAGTCTGTTGATTATTATTATTTTTCTTCCTATGCAGAAGGTTTTTTTTTTTTTTTTTGCTTCCCTTTTAAAACATAAATTCCAATTTCAGATCTCTCTCTCAAGTACAGAGTTCCACAGATCTTGAGCGCCTAGGTCAATGCCACCAGTCTCTTTGCTAAAGCATAGCAAGAGTGACCTTTGCTCCATTTCCCAATAAATTCTTCATCTCCATCTGAGTGTACCTCAGCCTGGACTTTATTGTTCACATTATTATCAGTATTTTGGTTAAAACCATTCAAAAAGTCTACAGGAATTTCCAAACTTTCTTACATCTTCCTGTCTTCATCTGAGCCCTCCAAACTGTTTCAACCTCTACCTGTTACCTAGTTCCAAAGTTGCATCCATATTTTTAGATTGTCTTTATAGCAGTGCCCCACTCTCTACAGCACAACTTTCTTGTATTAGTTTTGTTTTCACACTGCTATAAAGAAATACCCTAGACTGGGTAATTTGAGGAGGAAAAATGTTTAATTGGCTCACAGTTCCACATAACTGAGGAAGCCTCAGGAAACTTACAATCATGACAGAAGCCTAAGGGGAAGCAAGGTATATATTACATGGTGGCAGGTGAGATTCAGACATTGAGAAAGAGCGAGAGAGAGACAGCGAGAAAGCACGGAAAACTGCCACTTATAAAACCATCAGATCTCATAAGAGCTCATTCACAATCATGAGAACAGTATGGGGGAAACTGCTTCCATGATCCAATCACCTCCCACTAGGTTCCTCCTTCAATACATGAGGATTACAGTTTGAGATGAGATTTGGGTGGGGACACAGAGCCAAACTCTATCAGATGGCTTTTTTTTCATTGAGGTATATCCCTTCTATGCCAATTTTGCTGAGGGTTTTTTTTTTTTTTTTTTTAATCATAAAGCGATGCTGGATTTTGTCAAATGTTTTTTCTGTGTCTACTGAGATGATCATATGTTTTCTGTCTAACTTATTTTTAATCATAGGCCTTTACTCAATAAGATTAATTTTGTCAGAATTAGCTCAGACACTATGAAAGTAGATAGTCTCAAAGTACACAGCGAAGGATTTAACTAGTCTGGGAAGTGAGAACATGGCAGAAGTCACAGTTAAGCAGAGCCTTGAGGAATGATGTACTACCAAGTAAAACTGAGTGTGCTTTAGAGGAGGGTGAATAGTGCTCCACCCAGAGGCAAAAGCACATGAAAAGGTTGACTAGGTGTATCAGCATATTAGTGCATTAGAAAAAGAGTGACACATTTGGGAGAAACTGAAGGAAACACAGTGGTGCCGGGAAGCAGGTGGCAGCACCATTTGATGTAAAAGCAGAGAATCAGAAAATAAAGTCTTATATTTTTTCTTAAAAAAAAAAAAAAGGCTTTATTCTAAATACAATAGAAAGGCTTTGGAGTAAACAGATGATAATGTCTGTGTTTTTGAATTTTTACTGGCTGCAATAAAAAAAGTGGGTTGGAAGGTGATTCATGCAAAGCTATTGAGTAGTCCAGATGAGAGATGATAGTGGTTTGGCCTGCAACGGGGAAACTTGGATGAATAAAATTTAGTACATTCAAGAGGGACTCAGTAAAGTTTTAATACTGTATTATATAACTTGAGTGAGAAAGTAGTTGAATAGTTCATAGCTTTCTGGTTTCTGTATCTGATTATATAATTCAACTGTACAAGAGATGCTGACGTTGGAATAATGTCACATTTGATATGTAAGCCTATTGATTAAGTTTGAGGATAATGACATCAACATATCTTTGAAATATCTAAGTATAGATGAAAAATGAGTGGAATAGAGGAGAGGTTTTGTTTACCATACACCATAAAATGAATGATATTTAAAGCCAACAATGTATGACGTTGCTTACAGTGTGAGAAGAAGAGAGAGGCTAGGCCTGAGCTTTGAGGAATTTTAACCAGAAAAATAGCAGAGAGGAAAAAAAAACCAGTATTGGTCATTGATTGCAAACTATGAGTCTTTCTAAAATAGTTTACAATCTTGAATGCTACTGAGAACTCCAAAAGCTAAGGATTGAAAAATGTTTAACTACATTTAGAGAGGACTCTTTGTACAGATTAACTGAGTCCACAGAGCTTGGTCTTCTACCCGAGATGGAGATGAGATAACAAAGACAGTGCAGATCATGTTTCACAAAGGTTAACTAGAAACGGAGAGAGAAGTGTAGTAGTGATTGAGCAGAAAGTGGGGCGAAGGGATCCTTTATGAGAAAGGATAAACGTTGAGAAAGGTTAAACATGTAAAGAAGCATGAATAATCAATGCTGTAGGCCGGGCGCGGTGGCTCAAGCCTGTAATCCCAGCACTTTGGGAGGCCGAGACAGGCGGATCACGAGGTCAGGAGATCGAGACCATCCTGGCTAACACGGTGAAACCCTGTCTCTACTAAAAAATACAAAAAACTAGCTGGGCGCGGTGGCGGGCGCCTGTAGTCCCAGCTACACAGGAGGCTGAGGCAGGAGAATGGCGTAAACCCGGGAGGCGGAGCTTGCAGTGAGCTGAGATCGGGCCACTGCACTCCAGCCTGGGCGACAGAGCGAGACTCCGTCTCAAAAAAAAAAAAAAAAAAAATCAATGCTGTAAAGGTCATGAAGAGGTAGAGAATGGAATCCAAGCAACAGAGATGGATCTTAGATAGGAAAAGATAACCTACTGAAATAAACTAGGCAATTGGAGAAGTCAAGATTTTTAAAAGAGTTGTAAAAGTCTGAAATACCTGTGGAATGTGATAGAGCAAACAGATCAGAGAAATATAGATCAAATTTTGGGTCATGTTGAGATTGCATTTGTGCTTGGTAATCATAAATCTAAAGTGGAACCAATCTGTACTTTTGTGTGACCTTTTCCAGTAGGGCACAGTTATCTTAGTTCTGAATGTAATAGATGGGAAATGCAATAGATAGATTTATCTAGTTTGAGAGTTTTGCTAGATATGAAAAATAAAAAGAGAAGTAGGTGTGATAAACTATGCTACTGACAAGTATAAAATTGAAATTATGGACTGTGGACTTTCTTTTGAATAAGGAGTAAAATAATGTCTCAAATAAGTGCGGCTGTTTCTACCTTTGTGCAGGTAAAGTTTCCAAAGACCTAAAAACTATGGTCAAATAAGTACAAAATCTCCCAACAAAAAGAGAAGTAAAGAATACCGAGGCGGTATCTACCATTGTGTTTACCTGAAAGATCTACACTGAGCTATCTCGAGGTTGCAGTGGGTAAGTAGGCTTACTTTCTCTGTTACTCTACTAATTTACTCTGTGTTCATTTTTCCAGTTGTTTGTTTATAAGAGCTCACAGAACCCTCAATTTGTCCGAGTTATTTCTGTCAAGCATTCGTAACAACACCTTTATAAGCATTAAAATTAAAAATAAAACCAAGGAAATTAAGAAAGCTATAACTTGGCTGGGTGAGGTGGCTCACGCCTGTAATCCCAGCACTTTGGGAGGCCGAGGCGGGTGGATCACGAGGTCAGGAGATCCTGGCTAACATGGTGGAACCCTGTCTCTACTAAAAATACAAAAAAATTAGCCAGGCATGGTGGCGGGCGCTGCGTCTGTAGTCCCAGCTACTCGGGAGGCTGAGGCAGGAGAATGGTGTGATCCCGGGAGGCGGAGCTTACAGTGAGCTGAGATCGCGCCACTGCACTCCAGCCTGGGCGAAAGAGCGAGACTCTGTGTCAAAAAAAAAAAAAAAAAGCTAGAACTTATGCTCAAATATCTTGACCCTTAACATGGGTAATCATTCATAGCCTTAGTTGTCAATGACATAATATGTTGCAGATTCATGTATTGCAGAAGATGAGCCAGACAAAGCACATCTAAATAAATTAATATTTAATATTACTTTAGGGGCTGTTATGCCTTGAGGTACAGTGTAGTTATTTGAAAATTAATTGTGGCATTCTAAATATTCTTCACATTTTTCTACCAAAAATACATTGCTAAATGCTATATAATTTAACTGTTTGTCCCTTTTGAAAATTCATGTTAAAACTGAATCTCCATTTTAATAGTATCAAGAGGGTGGGAAATCTGACTACAGTAATTAAAGCTGGGGACTTTGGGAGGGAATTAGAATTAAATAAGTTTATGAGGGTGGGACATTAGTAGCTTTGTAAGAGGAGAATAAGACCGTGAACTATCACACTAAGTTCCTAACCATGTGATGCCTATACTGCCTTGAGACTGAAGAGATGCCTTACTAGCAAAAGGTCCTTCACCAGGCATAACCCCTATACCATGTATTTTCCAGCCTTCAGAAAAGTAAGAAATAAGTTTCTTTACTTTAAATATTACCCAGTCCTAGTATTTAGTTATAGCAACAGACAACAGCATATGACATTAACAGACAAAATATTTCACATAATTTTAGGGAACCATTTATGAGATACTAAAAAGTCTTACATGAGGAATTACCAAGAATGATATCCTGAAATTTGGCAAATGAAATACATTAAACAAACATGACCACAGGGCACATTTCAAAATGATAATAAAGTTATCATTGGTACATTTAGATCACATTTTGATCTCATCTGAAAAGACAGAAAGAAGAAGAAATATTAAATAAAAATACATACGCAAAGTTTTATAATGATTATTCCTGGTATTTCGTTGCTCTTGAAAGATACTAGTCAAATTTTAGTACTTTCAGTAAATAAGCAAGCCAAGAAACAAATAAATAAAATTTAAAGGAAGAAATTGTGAATAGCAGACCAATGCTTTGTTCAAACCCATACTTTTTCAAATATACACTATGGTGATATATATGTACAATGACAGTTCCACCAAGTAGGAAAAATGGGCCTTGAATTCAGTAAAAAAACTACTTCTAGCAGAATGCTTATGTTCATTAAAACAAAATTAATATGTTTTTAGTTTCTATAGGACTTATAAGCAAAAGATGGTGAAAAAGTGAAATTAATCGGTATAAAGGTAAACTTGATGGCATTTTTGGCCATAAGCAGTTGTATTGATTCCTAAGAGATGTAAACATTAATTGACAAAATTAAGAGAAAGGTCAAGGAACACAATAAAAAAGTCTGAATAGTAAATAAAATGTAGAATATCATCGCACTCACACATGAGAAGAAAATGCACTTCTCACTCTTATAGAGTATTTTAGAATGTCATTTACTCTTCTATCTTTCTTCTTATCCTGTATAATTTATTATGTTTTGTTTGAGCTTTAGTCTAACATTTATCTAAATTTGAACTATCTTTTCATTGTAAAGAAAATAGTTCTACAATTAAAATCTCATAGGCATGAGATTAAAGAGTACCTTCCAAAAGGGTGGAAAAAAGGTATAAGCAGGAGTGTTTTTTTACAAAAGATATTTTAAATGGCAGTCAACTCCAACTCTGTCTACTTAATCAAATTTTTTTCTTAGACAAATTCAATATAGAGTTAAAATAGAAAGAAGAGCTAATTTATTCTCAGCTTAATAATCTCAGTTGACTTTTCATTAAAATTTAAAATTGAGTATCACATCAGAAAAGTCAGCTACAGTATGCATTTAGAGAAAGGTAACAGTCGCAAGATCAAGGTACCCATTGCCTACACATAACATGAATCCTATGTGAAGTATGAATACTCATCCACCAATGGTTTCATGTAATGTGCTTGTGTAAATAAAATCACTTCTTCTATGGGAATGCCATCAGCAAGATTTTAGAGTGAGAAGTCTTGGGCCCAACTAAGAAAGTTCAACTAGTAACTATCCATAAAATAGAACATCCTTTTAAAAACTCCAACCTCTGGAAATAATCCTGAGATACTCATATGGCATGCAGAATGAAACACAATCTGAATTTAGAAGGGTAGGAGGAATGGTTCTCTCTCCAAACAAGCAACTTCCTACCCCAAGTCAACATAGTGCCAGACAGAGAGAGTTTCCTTAACTCAGTTTTTTTTCAGAGAGAAAGAAAAACAAAAACTGAATCCAGCTTCCCTAGCATTCTCAGATAGCCCAGTCAGGACTGACTTCACAGGGAATAGTGGTAAAATCAACATGGCTTGACTGCCTGATGAGTCAGGCAAAAACAAAGAGGACGAGCACACAGATCTTCGTGGCACCTCTGCTTTCCTGCCAGCTTCAGTACTTGATCAGAAATATCAGCCAATCTCATAACACACCTGCAAAGCTGAGATGGTGGCATTTTCGCATTTAGAAGTAGGATGGGAAGCACAATCTAGCTTAAGCTCCTAGACGGCTTTCCTCCCAACCCAGCCTCAGAACCGCCCCCCACCTCCCTTCCCAATGATCTCATCCAGGAAGAGAGACTTCTACCCTGTGGGTCTCAGATAAGTAAAGGGGCTATACTGACTTGACCCATGAAGGCAAGCAGCGGCCCCATACACCCAAAATGCCTGCTTAATGATCCTGCTTAGGAAGGAAGACTGCCGCCTCTGTGCATTTTGGAAAAATGGAGTTGCTAGTACTACTTCAACCAGGAAATCAAGCAGCCATTTGTCTCAGCCAAAGGCCAACCCCACAGCTCAACCCAGACAGGGGAGCAATCTCTAATTTCATACTTACAAAGGAGCATAGCCTCAGTTCATTTCCTTGCCTAACCTCAGAGCCCAATCTGCAGCCCTTGCCAAACTGCAGATAACAAAGAGTGAGATTATCCAGCCAGGGAATAAATCCTGTGACTGGCCTGACCAGAACCCTATGCAGTACTTAGCCAGCAACTTCACCTGAAAGCAGAGCCAGCCAGTGGTCTCACCAGTCAACAGACCTCAGCTAGTAGCCCCCGACAACATGAAAGCAATGGCAGCACCCCCAGCTCACTAGATAACTCACAGCAAGCACTGCCTCCATAATGTCATCATTAGCTGGCCCTTACATAATCATAGGCTAGATAAATAATGAAGCTCTATACCTGCCAAAGAGTATCTGTAAAGGCCAGAAGAAGGAGATGTCTCCTTAAATGCATAGACAACAACATAAGGACACAGGATTGCAAAGAATCAGGTAGTCATGATGCCCCCAAAGAAAACTAATAAACCTACAATAACAGACCCTCCAAAATGAAGATCTATGAAATGACTGATAAAGAATTCAGAATAATATTCATTAAAAAGTTAGGTAAATTAAAAAAAAATACCTATAGAAAATGTAATGAAATTTGAAAAACAATAAACACAAAGGTCAGATGAACAAAGGAACAGACAAAATAAAAGAACCAGAGAGATAAATAATACAAAGACTGAAATGAAAAACTTAATAGAAAGCTTCAATAGCAGACTCATGTAGTAGAAAGAATCAGTGAGTTAAAAAACAAAACATTTGAAATTATCCAGTCAGAACAGCAAAAAGACCAAACAATAAAAAAGAATAAAGGAAGCCTAATGAATTATGAGACTGAGGGAGGCTGAGGCCGGAGAATGGCGTGAACCCGGGAGGCGGAGCTTGTAGTGAGCTGAGATCCGGCTACTGCACTCCAGCCTGGGCGACAGAGCGAGACTCCGTCTCAAAAAAAAAATAAATAAATAAAAATAAAATAAAATAAAAAAATAAAAAAAAAAAACAGAATATCCTTCAAACACGAAGAAAAAATAAAGACTTTCCAAGATAAAAGCTGAGGGATTTCTCAATATCAGACCTATCCTACAAGAAATACTCAAGGGATTATTTGAATCATAAAGAAAAGAACATTATGAGCAATAAATAATCACCAGAAGGTAGAAAATTAGGTGATAATAGTAAGTTCATATAAAATCACAGAATATTATAACACTGTAAATGTATTTGTAAATGACTCTTATCCAAATTAAAAAGACTAAATATGAGCCAATCAAAAATAATAAGTACAGGACAGGTGGGTTGGCTCACGCCTATAATCCCAGCACTTTGGGAGGCCAAGGCGAGCAGATCACGAGGTCAGGAGTCCCAGCTACTCCAGAAGCTGAGGCAGCAGGATGGCGTGAACCCAGGAGGCAAAGGTTGCAGTGAATCGAGATCGCGCCACTGCACTCCAGCCTGGGCAAAAGAGCAAGACTCCATCTCAAAAAAACAACAAAAACAAAACAAAAAACAAAAAAAAAAAACAGTTCAACAACATTTAAGGACACAGTACAATAAAATATAAATAGAAACAAGAAAAAGTTTTGAAGTGGGGGGATGACGTTAAAGTGAGATTTTATGAATTTTCTTTTTGTTTGTTTATGCAATAGTGTTATTAGTTTAAAATAATGAATTATAAGATATTA